ATGATGTGACTTTAGTCACTAATAATTTATAATGCATTAGCCTATTAAAAAACATCCCTATAGTCAATATCAATCGTGGAATAACTTTTTTTGCCTTTATTAGTCATGAAAAGTCTGTGTAAACATGTCTTCTTCAATATCTGGTAAATAAGTGATTTATTATAAAAGGATCACATATCTGGCCAAACAATATTTATTCCCTTAAAGTGCTAAAAGAATGATGAATAGAGCTGTTAAGGCCTTTTTAATTGGACAAACAACGTTCAACTGTGAGAAGACGCACAACTGTCAGAATTTGTAGAAATTAATATTTTAAGGATTAGCATTCACTGCAGCACTTCCATAAACCTTATCAGCCATTTATGAAGGAAGATTGATCTTGAATGCTCTCAACACAGTGTCTACAACCCTGAGCTGAGGTATTCAAGAAGCATGACTAAAGCAATCATTTATTAATTTGTCAAGGTAATACTTCTTCAGCTAACGATTCTCTGCAGATGGAGAAATAATACAGCTTATAAAACAACACTCAATTTGCATTCTAATGTGAAAGGCAGTGTTCAAGACATCTGTTTCTATTTCTTACCATGTTGGCACCAAATAAAACCATGGTCATGCCGACTTGCTAATGTAAAAAGAAGCTTGCAAAGCTTCCTCTGCTTCTAAATGCTTCTGATTGGTCCACTGCTTTGAAACTGACATTGATGAACAGCACAACATGTGAATGTGAAATGCTTTTAAAATGTGCAGCTCATGTGTATTCAAAACATAGGATTTAGAAATCCATTGGAATTTGGCAGTCATTCATAAAATGTGTTAGAGAGTTATTTGATTCATTAATGATTAGTGTCATAGCTTTATCTTGTGGTAAAAAAGAAAAAAGTGGCACCTGGTATCAATTCAAAAGTCCACAATTGATCTGGTAAATTCAATAACATGCTGAAATGTTATCAAAATGTCAGATCCTGGAGACCTATTAGCTTGGGCCAAACCGCAACATTAATCTTACAGCACTTACTATGCATTGAACTCCATCAAGTTATTGCCTGACTCGTCCAAGCTGGAGTTCAATGTGAAGTCAATTTGCTTTTCTTGAAAGAGATAAAAGATTCCATAGAGGTGGAGCCCAATTAGCCCTCAGGTTAACAATGTAAGAGTAACTAGCCTTTCTGCTAATGGCCCATTAGCACAGGAATTTGGCAAGAGTGTCTAGAATGTCTATAGGTGTCTTTGGGCTAATGCTGACAAAGACAATTCTTATGTCAACAATTAAGGACAACTATTAAGCTGAAGAAAAGCCTGGAAACAAGTCAATTTGCGACAATGATGTGATATGTGCACGGATTGGCCATCATAGTCACATCATCACTTCGTTGTACATCATTTTCATATTATTCTTTTATTTTTATTTATTTATTTTTTTTACCAAAAAGATTACATTAAATGTCCATTTTATACAAGTTGATATGTATTTTGGGTCTTTATGAAAAGTCTATAACTTACTATAGTAAATTTCTCAGTGGTAGTGTAAATAAACACCTCTTTTGCCCTTTAAAAAGACATCAGTCCACAGTGAGCCATTTCTCCTCATATACCTTTAAATGAGCCGCTGGTCTACCATCCCTCTATGTGGATGCAATATCAGGAATACCAATCCGCTCTTGAAGTGTAGCTAAGCCAATGCAACACACACACACACGCAGCACTCAACCCAACCTCCTGCTTCTGCTGACATTGGTCTGTATGACTGACATAAAGGGGTATTTGAAGCGGTTTCCACATTATGATGACAAAATGTGAGATAGCGACAGGCCATCTCCTGCTCATATAATCACTGCATACAATTTATCATTGCTTGACATTGCATCCTGCCATTATCAATTTAATATATATTCAAACAAACATCTTTGATAAAAACTGACAACGGTGTATTTAACAAATGCTCAGCTGCCGTTTCTGAGCTGGTTAGTGTGTAAATTGACAACAAGACAATTGCAAACACAGCTCTGAACATGAAGGATGAGGATCCAATTCAAAACACAAATGAACGAAAACTGGCAATTGCTAACTGTTGTCAAATGAAACAAAGCAAAAATGCATTGTTTATAAATACAAATATGTATTTATACATAAATAAAACCTTAGAACCATCTTTCATAAAATGCGGGTACAGCTTGAATCCAGTTTTGAATTACCTAAGCTTGTAAACAGTCAGGTAAAAAAATGTTTTGCACAAACAAGCAGTTTTCACCTAGATTTCCCCTTCATATATAGAACTAAAGCATTTTGGTGTTGACACTGCTAAAGAAGGGATTCTGTCTAAAGCAGAGATGCCCAAACTGCCCATGATAACTTTTGATTTGGCCCACCATGCCATCTGATAAGAGAGGGAGAAAGATGTGGATGGTTTGGAGATTGTATGTAATCTCCTATTTGTTTTATTGTTCAGCTACGAAAAAAGCAAACCGAAATTAAATGTTTCAATTTAAATGGTATAAATTAATCAGAGACTTTGGTGAGCGACTCAAGGCAAGAGCAGACTGTTACAAATGTGATTGTTTTTATTAATAGTTATGTTGCATAAGTTAATACAATTCAAAGTAATGTTTTCTATCTATCCATATTATGAACTGAATTAGCAAATTACCCATGGCAACTTTAATGTAAAATAGTTAGTTAGGTAAATTTGTCTTCGGCCCACAGCTCTCAATGATATTTGGGATTTGGTCCTTCATATGAAAAAGTTTGGGCAGCCCTGGGCTAAAGCCATCTGTGAGCCTCTAGAGTTACACGCGATAGACAGCAGACTGCAAATCAAAACTAAAGAGAAAATAAGGCAACACTATTAGCCCCTTTGCTATTTGTTTACAAAAAATAAAAAAAAATAAAAAATAAGGTGGAAAAAGGTCAAAGTTTACTCTTATCTAATCTTTAAGGTCAAAATAAACACTACTTTGCTATGGCACATCACTTTTCTTGAAGTAAACTTTAATACATTTTATTTGCTTTTTTTTTACAAAATAAAAGCTTGGCTAATTTTAATAAGCACAATACTTACAGTTGAAGTCAGAATTATTAGCCCCCTTGTGATTTTGATTTTCTTTTTTAAATATTTCCCAAATAATTTTTAACAGAGCAATGAAATTTTTAAAGTATGTCTGATAATATTTTTTTTCTTCTGGAGAAAGTCTTATTTGTTTTATTTTGGCTATAATAAAAGCAGTTATTAATTTTTTAAACACTATTTTTGGGACAAAATTATTAGACCCTTTAAGCTAACTTCATTCATTCATTCATTCATTTTCTTGTCGGCTTAGTCCCTTTATTAATCCGGGGTCGCCACAGCAGAATGAACCGCCAACTTATCCAGCAAGTTTATTACGCAGTGGATGCCCTTCCAGCCGCAACCCATCTCTGGGAAACATCCACACACACATTCACACACACACTCATACACTATGGACAATTTAGCCTACCCAATTCACCTGTACCGCATGTCTTTGGACTGTGGGGGAAACCGGAGCACCCGGAGGAAACCCACACAAAGGCAGGGAGAACATGCAAACTCCACACAGAAACGCAGGGGATCGAACCAGCGACCTGGCAACCTTCTTGCTGTGAGGTGACAGCACTACCTACTGTGCCGCTGCCTCACCTTAAGCTAATTTTTTTTTTTGATAATCTACAGAACAAACCATCGTTATACAATAACTTGACTAATTACTCTAACCTTCCTAGTTCACCTAATTAACCTAATTAAGCCTTTTAATGTCACTTTAAGCTGTATAGAAGTGTCTTGAAAAATATCTAGTAAAATATTATTTACTGTCATCATGGAAAAGATAAAATAAATCAGTTATTAGAAATAAGTTTTTAAAACTATTATGCTTAAAAATGTGCTGAAACAATCTTCCCAGAACAGAACAGAAATTGGGGAAAAAAATAAACAGGGGCGCTAATAATTCAGGGCGCTAATAATTCTGACTTCAACTGTATATGAGTAGAAACTGCATAAGATTTTTCCTCTGGTTTCTCCACTCTGTAACAGGTGTAAAACAGCAGAATGACCCTTAACCCACTTGATATGGTTGTGTCCTAATTTACAAGACTTTTGAGAAAATGTATTTGAATGTTTTTCATTTGTCCCTCTGTGTTCTGTTTTTCAGTCAAAGGTTAGTATTGTATGTATTGTGTTTTGTATGTACAGTATTATTATTGTATTGTTTTTTTCTCTTTCTCTTTTGTTGTAGTTTTATAAAAATGCAAAAAGCACGTAAATAAAAAAAATCTATCCATCCATCAATCCATCCATGTACCATACTATCTATCTATCTATCTATCTATCTATCTATCTATCTATCTATCTATCTATCTATCTATCTATCTATCTATCTATCTATCTATCTATCTATCTATCTATCTATCTATCTATCTATCTATCTATCTATCTATCTATCTATCGATCGATCTATCTATCTATCTATCTATCTATCTATCTATCTATCTATCCATCTATCCATCTATCATCTATCCATCCATCCATCCATCCATCCAATCATCCATCCATGAATGTTACCTTCAGGACCAAAAAGCATCTTCTCCATACAGTGGTACTGTGCACTCAAAAACAACGCTCACCTAGCTGTGCTTTTCCACCTTGGAATGGTACAGTCTTTTCACAATATGGCACACTCAAATGACTAGAAAATTTAAACAGATTGCGTTTGCAATTACATTTCGAAGTTAAGCTCTAAAAGAAAAAACCTGCACATTAAATTTAGTTCTGCAACGTGATGCAACCTCACCACATTGCTACAAATAGTGTTGATTGATCATGCACTTTGTAAATTTGTACAAAAACTGAAATATTAAGTATATTATCAACCAGGTGGTGCTATACTAGAAAAACAACAGATTTTTTAAAGAAGAGGCTGATGAAACTTTATGAGATCTGTATGTAATAGCAATTGAGTTTATGTGGGGGAAGAATGTCAGCTCACCTGACGCAATGTCCACACGCATGTTTTTCTGCTGGGTGACGTTAATGTGTGCTGTGACTTTTCCATCGTTTAGAGCCAATTCCAGCATTCCATCTGCCAAGGAGCTAAACAGGAGCAGGCCGCTGGGGTTCCAGGAACGAAACTGGAATCCAACAGAAACCATATTGTGGTCCCTCCTCCCTGGCAGCTGAAGAAAGCTGGTGCCATTGAAGAAGACGGGGAACGTGTGTGTGTCCACGCAGGAGAAAGTCAAGTTGCGCTGAAATGAGGCATGATACAATACAATTAAAAGTCATTCATGTTTGTGCACCATGAAAACTACTAAGATGGTTAAAATGAAGTGGAGGTTGCAATATACTACAACTTCTGATTTATATATATTATTGAAACAGCAGGAAATATAGAATGAGAATTGATGGTTGTTGTTTTCGATTGGTCTATATCATGTAGCCAGTGGTGTAACAAATATTATTATTAAAACATCTATTATGTTGATCCTGGAACATTGTTTGTGTTTGAAAATGTGATTCATATTGTAGCTATCCCTACCCCTAAACCCAACCATAACTGTACATTATTCCCAGAGTCAGAATGGAATATTGGATAACAGTGCATGAATCTAACCGTAAACCTAAATTTAACATAAAATAGTAAAAAATATCCAATAATTCTGATTGGCTGAATGGAATGTTGTTCCAGGATCAACATAGATGTTAGACTTGGTGAAATCTGGCGTAACTGTGTGATGACTGAAATGGCCTTAAACAATAACTAAATGCACTACAGAATGTTACGTTTACACACACATCCACTAATTACATTCACATGCATCAGCTTTTTTACAGCATAATACTCACTACTCATGAGTTCTTTTGAAAGGGCTACTTTTTAATTACACTTTGAGTAATATTTACAACTGATTTTTACTTTACTTGCATTATTTTGGGCAGGTATTGGAACTTTTAGTTGAGAAGGATTTCTCAGTACTCTTTCCACCTCTTAATGTGGTGGATAGGTTGTTGAGACGAGTTGTTTCAATTAACACTTACAATGGTACATAGTATAAAAAAATTATGAATAAAAATTAAAAGGACAACAATTTGCAATAAACAATGCATTATTCTATGAAAAAACACAAATTTTGTTTTGTTTTGAGTTATATGGCATTTAGACACAGAATGAATGAATGAATGAATGAATTAATAAATGAATGAATGAATCAATGAACCACTAAATAAATAAATTAATTAATGAATAAATAAATTAATAAATAAATGAATTTTTGTCTTGTTTTCCAATAAAAATATCAAAATATCAAAATGCATTTGCTTGGGAATTTTAAAACATTCATTAAAAGTTGGCGACAATAGCCTAGTGGTTAAGTATCAACATATAGCACCATAGTGCTTACAGCAACTTGAGTTCGATTCCCTTCTTGAGGTCCTTTGCGACCCTACCCCTTTTTCTGCTTTCCTGTCTGTAATCTCAACTGTCCTATCTTAATTAAACGGTAAACCCCCCTGCAAATATTTTAATTTAATTTAATTTAATTTAATTTAATTTAATTTAATTTAATTTAATTTAATTTAATTTAATTTAATTTAATTTGCCTTTTTATGTAATTTTGCTTTTCAAATAAATATTGATTTAAGAGTACTTAGATACTTTCACTGGAAATTAAATTAATCATATTGTATTGTGTGCACAGCCATTAAATAAATTAAGATGGCTATACAACTTGTTCCATAATGTATCAAACATGATTTAATCTCTCATTTAATCTCCCAACCTGGCCAAGATGGTTGATAAAACCTGTTAAAAGCAGTTATACCCAGCAGATAACTCCTGTTCTATGCAGGGTTTGTGCAAAATAGATGTCTATTGTACAGCAGCTAATTTGATGCAACACACTGTATACTAAATTTCTCACATTCAACATCTTTAATACATAGCTGCAAATAAAGTGACTACAAAATAAACCTGCGTCTGAAATGGTTGAGGACCTTTCATGCCGAACACGGGCTTAAAAAAAGATCTCTCAAACTGCTGTTACAGCAAGTTCCCCACCAAACGGCAGATTTCTGAAGCTGGAAAAGGGGCACGGGGAAGCAACGATGAGGGCTTTTATTCATGACTCTCTAACTCCGCGTCCTTCTAAATGGTAATTCCGAGGCCCCAAATGCACTTCAGCCTTATTTCAAATATAGAGAACTTAATCAGTCTCATCACAATGAAATAGAAAAGTGCACTCAGCCTTTCTCAGCGCTTCATAAGAGAACCTCCGCCCATATGATGTGTTTTATCAACCTTGAATATAATCCTTCAGACATGAATAATAATTCAAAGGCTGTCTATGGTAGACACATGTCAGGTTTGGAAAGTAGGAGAATCACACTATTTTTACTGTAATAAAAATGGACAGTTTGGGTAAAAAAAGAGAATTCTGTCACCATTTACTCATTGTCGTCTGGTTCCAAATTGGTGTGACTTTGTTACGTTTTAGGGAAAATGAAAAAAAAAAGAGAAAAAATATTTAGGAAAATGTCTAAATCAGGCGTCCTCAAAAAAAAAAAAAAAAAAAAAAACAAACAATCCAGATCCTGATTCCAAAATAAGAGTATGACACATACTGTCAAATGTACTGTAGCATCCTTTTACTGATTCTAAACAAGTCAAAACAACACAGCAGTCCAAACCACAAGTGCTCAGGGTCGTTTTTGGTAACGTTTCTTTGGTACTATATCTTCTATTATTTATATCTAGACCCAAACATGCTTTTAAAGGGCCTTTCAGCATTATGTGTGTTGCTTCATTCCCACAAGGACCAAACATGCATGATTTGTTTTAACAACCGCAACAAACTCAGTGAGAAAAACAGATGCTTTCAATAAAATGCATCACAATAGGGCTGAAATATCTGACCTTATGATTTTTGATATTCTGCGATATATTTAGCAATAGAAATCTAATGATTTGAATAGCTCCATTTGGAATTTTTTTATTCATTTAGATCGATTGGGATGATTAAGTATTTTTCTATGAAAGGTGTTTACATAGAGTATAACAACTTACAAGCATATATACTGTAAATACAATGGAATAAAGTATAACAGTTCAATAAACAGTGCTTTACGGTTCTGGAGAGATCAATAGTATTTAGGTACAGAAAAGAAACAATCAAGCGTAAAATAACATGGTCATTGTGATATAAATGCTCAAATGATGTATTGGTCAGCCTTAAATTATCTTTTTGTTTGTTTAAATGAGCTGTGACAGGATGTTTAGCATTTTTAATCAGCATGATCAGAATATTCCATAATTCATATCACTGGGGAAATGTACTTATATATGACAATATAAGTGTTTGATCATAATGTTAGAAAGATCTAAGATAATGTTTAGATCTAATTCTACTTATTTGAAGCAAAATATATATTTTTTTTTAATCCACACTTGAAGAGGAAAACCTTGAATCCCTTTATAATATTGTCACATGGCTTTCTGACCTATCTAAATGTAAAACTTTTAATAGCCTGATCAAACTTCTTATCTTTTAATATTCATATCCACTTGGACTCAGCTGATGAGATATTTCATCACATCTCTGGCTCTCAGAGCCCAATATATTAATCTCTGATGACTATTTTGACTTTTTTTCTTTTCTTTTCTTCAGATAGTATTACTGCTACTGCTCAGATGAAAATTTATAACCATTTCAAAAAAAATTGTCAAAAGTTTAGCTTGGACCTCTTGGACCTCTAGTTGCTGTGGATTGTCCTGTCTCTACAGATTTGGTAAGTGAGCGACCAGTGCTCTTTGTTTATTCAGTTTGTTCGTATCGAACTAACTATTGCTCCGAGTGTAAACATGTTAGCACCACAACTAAACTATTACAGTCGTGTAGGATTTTCACTGCATTTTGTGACCGGAATAACACACGCGGCTTACCTGCCGAGTGCATCTAAGTTACAGAGAAATACAGAGTTAAATTTTTTCTCTCATTCGCCATGCGGTATCAAACATTGCATGAAAAATACACTCTTAGAGCAGTTCCTCGAATCAAATATCTTGTTTGTCACGAGGGGCACGAATGAATTCCCTGAAAGAAAGTGCCAAACTGCAGCTAAAGTCCACCATTTAATAACTTGGCAAATAATTCGATTACAGATGTCCATGTAAACACAGTCACTTTCTCCCCTGTGTGTGTATGTGTGTGTGTTTTGACTCTGAAACTCAGCGCATGGTCAAATAGACACTCCCACACCATCCCTCTTTTGCTCCTCCGACACTTCCCCCTAAACAGAGCTGGACATGCCCACTTTTCTGGCTTTTTCCAAAGTAGAGGTGTGAAAACACCCTGCTGAAATGAGGGGGTTTCATGGCCCTTTAACTGAATATGCCTGGTCTAACTGGGTCAGTATTAGGGTTTAGAATTGTTTGGGATTATTTATCGGTGCTATATCGATATTTTTAAAATGGTACTGGTGCCAAAACGATGTCTGAATCAATACTTTGAGCCACAAAATTATGGTAGATGACTCTATAAAAACTTTTGAATAATGTATGTAAAAATATACATTTTAATCATTTTAATTAATAAAAGCACTGCTGGAAGAGTGTTGTTTTAAAGGAATTTGATACTGCACGCCGAAAGGAAAGAAAAAACTCAGCATTTCATGACTTGGTTGTCTGTGGTCCTTTAATCAAACGTCGCTGTTTAAATGATAGACTTTAAATCAGAGTATTGTCTTAAAAATGTTTAGTTTAAGCAAATTTGATGAATGCAATCATGTGTGTGGATGAATCTGAAGGGAGTCGCTCACCAGATGCGCCACACTACACGCGTTGCCTTCAATATCTCGCTACGCAACAAGAACAATTGCCTAACATCGACAATGGTGCCTGTATCCCTTAAAGATGTTTAGAATTAAATGTTTAGAAATGGTGTGACACAACATGTACATATGTGTCTTTGATGTACCCCTTTATGCTTCTTATGTCCTTGTTGCAGCACCAGTGGCACGGATATTAGGCACTGAAATTCATATGCTGATCGGTCTGGTGCATATCAGTTACACAGGTCCCGGTGTCATATTGGTACTGGGTTTTGGTACCCAACCCAAGTCAGTATAACACATTTTGAACCCATCAACATTAATTGAGTTCTTAACATCATTTGTGCGGAAGGAATGTGATATTTATTAGGTTAGAAATGTTTGTCTTTTACGTCTGTGAAAGAGTCAGATCATGCGGTTTAAAATATTGAAATGTTCACACAGTCACAGGCCATAAAGTTTACTTTATACCGTCACAGTTTTCTCAAAGATTAAACTCAAAGATTTACTCACACTTCACTTGTTTCAGTACTATAGATATTATTAAATTATATTCTTTTTGTGTTTATTTATAAAAAAGAAAACTCATAAATGTTTGAAACAACTGAAGGGTGTAATGAAAATGGTGGGTAATTTTTGTGTGAACTATCTCTTTAAAAATGCATGCAGATAATAAACTTACTCCATTATGATTAAACTCTATATTAAACTATGATCCCAACATTGCATATCCTGTGATGTGACTATTGCTGATGCACACATTGCGATATCGATGCTGAAACGATATAATGTGCAGCCCTGACTTGAATATAGTTTAGTTGTCTTTACTTTTTTTCTGTCCTTGGCCAAAAATTGCTCTCACATTGTTAGTGTTGTGTAAGCATTATGAAAACCAATACATAAACACATTTAAACATATTAGATTGTTGTGTTCTATGATATGCTGTAATAAATTTAAACGTCATTGTTTTTCTTATTATTTACCATGTATAGACATTACATGAAACATTACATCATGAAAAGTTCTGGAAAAGTCTTGGAAAAGTCATGGAATTTTAGTAGTAAAAATGTGGATGAACCCTGCTTTTATGACACACTATATGAAATAAAAAAAAATCTGTTTTAAGTTTAAAACGTCCAAATCCAGGACAAAATTGTGTAGTTTGAACCTGACAATAACGGTTTGGAATGACATGCACAAACACGATTGGTTTATTTGCCAAAATCCAATCTCTGTAACAAAAATATGCTAATTTAATTGAAACAAATTTAGATTTAACACCACTTGCTTGATGTTCCGTGACACGATGTGCTAGTGTAACTCTACAACAGAGATAAAGACTGCAGTTTTCATCAGAAAAGACAGTGTATCTCTTTTTGTTTACTGTTCCATTAATGAAGCGCAGAACACTGATATGCGTATTGGATATGATGTGCAATTAAAGCATTCTTTGTAATATCACAGTCGGAGGAAATTAGATTATTATCAGCGCTGACAACAGTCATCAAATCGGTGTAGATGATTAACATTCCCATCAGCTTGTCGAAACAAATGAAATGGATCCTTACAGCATAGATATGAGGTTGAAAATGCGAGCTCCATCAATATCACATTCTGAAGCATCAACCTTGCTCAGCTCTTCATGGTCACACACCTCCACAAAACCCTCCAGGCGAAAACAACCCACCCAAACATGTTAAATATGCACTCAACTGTCATGAACAGGAAACGTATGCCCTTAGTATATGCAGCTGATTGTCAAGGGAATACACTCACAAAGCTAGACGTGTCCAGTTTCTTTCTTCTGGCCAAGTCAGTGATGTTTTCTCCATTGTAGTTAATGCTTTCCATGCAGCCTTTGAAATTTCTTCTTCCTCCTATGACTGGCTTTCCGGAATACGGCATTCCTCCAAAAGTCAGCTAAATGGAGCAATAAGACATGAGACAGATAAAAATAGACAAAGCATTACAATAAAGCATTACACCCTAAGAACAATGCATAAAGGGAGAGGGGTAAGACGTGTCGGCGGTTGAGCGGAGTCACCTCCTTAATCTACTAAACTGTGTTAAATGTTTCCGTGTTAGAAATGCATATGAGACAAGTGATAAGCCATGTTTATGCTAAAAATGCGTTTTGTATGTCAGAGTGAATTTTCCACATGTCGGATAAAATGAGTTTTGTGTCAAAGCAAATGAATGCAGGTCTTCGCTGTTATATGTGATATACATTTATCATGCATGGTGGTGGACTGCCAGAGTAAAGTGTCATAAAAATTAGTCAGTTAAAGATTAGAGACTAATTCGGTCACGCTTTGCTTCAAAGTAACTATTCTGGGAAAATAAATAAACAAATTGATAGAATAAACAAATCTCAGAGTGCAAGTTATAGACAGTGTGTTGCAAAAATGTTTCAAAAAGTATGGTTTCAAGCATCAAAATATATCTGTCAGCCAATGCACAAACCTAAAGCAAGAGCATTTCTTATACTGTTGTACAAAATGTATTATAATTGTAATTTTTACCATTATCTTTCCATTTTTATTTATGTGCATTTATTTTATTATTATTGTTATTTTTATTTACTATTATTTTTAATGTCTTAAATACTTTTATCTTTTTTAATAAACATTTTTTTCTCACTTTGTATATAATGTATATGGGGCGACGCGGTGGCACAGTAGGTAGTGCTGTCGCCTCACAGCAAAAGGGTCGGTGCTCGAGCCTTGGCTGGGTCAGTTGGCTTTTCTGTGTGTAGTTGCATGTTCTCCCTGTGTTCGCTTGGGTTTCCTCCGGGTGCTCCGTTATCCTACCCCAGTCTAAAGACATGCTGTACAGGTGATTTGGGTAAGCTAAATTGCCAGTGAGTGTGAATACATGTGTATGGATGTTTCCCAGAGATGGGTTGCAGCTGGAAGGGCATCTGCTGCGTAAAACCTGTGCTGGATAAGTTGGCGGTTCATTCCGCTGCGGCGACCATAAGACTAACAAAAAAGGGACTAAGCCGAAAAGGAATGAATGAATGAATAATGTATATGTACCTGTTTACTTAAGTATTTTACTGATCTATTCTTGTTTTTTGTATGTGTTTTATAATTGCTTTGGCAATACTATGCAAGTCATGCCAATACATTTAATTTGAATTTCAATTACGTACACACTACCTGCCAAATGTTTGGGGTCAGTAAGATTTCTGAATGTTTTAAAATAAGCTTATCCTGCTCATTTATTTAATAAAAAATACAGTAAAAATTGTAAAATTGTGAAATGTTATTGCACTATAAAATAACTCTTTAAAAGTAGTTTATAATTTAATTTAATAATTTATTCAATTGATTTTAATGATGAATTTTCTGCTTTATTACTTCAGAGTCACATGATCTTTCAAAGGTCACTCTAATATTAGTTATCATTGCTATTTTTATCATATTTATTATTATTGATAATAATAAGTAATAAAAGCAATAATGACCGGATTAATCATTTTATTTGAAACTACATGCAATAAATAATAAATAAAAATGTATTTTTTTTTTTTACATTTAATAAATGTTAAAAAAAAAACTGACCCCAAACTTTTGACCGGTAGCGTGAATAAGAATTATCTATAACATTTATCATCTTATATAATATAAGATGATGTCTCCTAAATTACATTTTATTCATTGACTTACAGATGGCACACACCAAACCGTCAATTAGTATTTCTATAGAGCCTAAAAATAAGCAAGAAATGTCAGTTACAAGAAGTGTTTAAGGAGATATTAAAATACAGCATCACTGCACAGACCAAAATATTTTTAATTGCAGTTTTAATTTTTCATGCTTTGCTACTAATCTTAAAACTATTCGGTTTTGCCTATTCGTTAGCCAGAATTTTAAATAATCTAAAAAAGTGCACTGTGCTTTTTAAAATAAGCTCGCAGTTTGTTTTTATATAAATATTGTTTTTTTTTTATTCTGTAAATAAATGCAGTATATCATGTTGAATGACAACAGAAAGTTTTTTCAAGTATTACATTTTTTACTTGGATTCATATTTGCCATATAAAAACTTTTTTATGTATAAAAAATCCTTTTTTGTGTTCAGTTTATTTTGAAGCTAATGCTGGTTCATGAAAATGTAAATGTGAAGCAAAGCAAGACTTCATAATTGACGATTCACTGCATTGCTAAACAATTATTTATTTAATGCACATTATTCAGTAGATTTTGTTAAGTGTTATGTTATGCTATATAATTATATGTTATTTTTTTATTTTGAAATGTACATCATTCAGATATTCACCCATGACTTACGTTTCTTCTTATTTTTATTTTTATTTTGCCAATGTTTACATTCAGCAGACAGTACACTTTTTAATTCAATTGTATTAAGATGGCAAATTATGATTTAGAGTTTATTATTAATTAATTAATTAATTAATTAATTAATTAATTAATTAATTAATTAATTAATGTATGTATGTATGTATGTATGTATGTATGTATGTATATTTTTTTATTTATTATTAATTATTATTATTGTTATTATTTTTATGATCATCATCATCTTAATTATTACCACTGGGAAATAAAAAGAGGCACATTTTGCCCAAAACAAAACTGCATATGCATAAAAAAAGAGCTTTAAAAATTATGTGATGCATATACTATAAACACACAATCTGCTGTTTCAGCTGCAAAATCTTCAACTTGTGACAACTGAGTAAAATTACACAGATTTTGTTAAATAAGAATATATCTAGCTATTGAAATATGCTTATTAAGCACTATTATTCATGCAATGTCAAACTGAGCGCCAGAAAGGAGCACTAGAGCTTTCAGCACAACAGTCGATAAACGCAATTGTTTGTAAATGCTTTCTGTGCTCTGGCAGAAAACGACTCGCCACTTTGGATCTGTTCTCGGCTCAATTAATCAGACACTTTCACTTTAATTGGGGTCAATTTGTCTCAGACCAACTGAGCTGTAACCAGCCCTGTAGCATCCAGTGGCTCCAGGAGTGTCTGAGCTCAATTGAATAGACAAGCATTCGCTTTCCAGCCATTTTCTTTACTTCACCAAAATCAATTTCCAATACATTTCCCCTCATTTCGTTTGATTGCATTAATATCCTGCTACACATCATTAGAATGGATTAACCTGGTGGACTGCAGGTGCTCTGTGGTAAAAAAAATGACAAGGGACACAAATCTCCCTGCAAACAAAGTTTATGGCAGAGTGAACCTTACTAGGATAAAACGTCTAGGTGTGACAACACAGCTTTATTGACGGCTGCAGTTTGATTGGAGACCTATACAGAAATCCTTCAAGGATTTGGAGATTATTACAGACCTTCTATTTTGAGACTGTTAGCAGCCTGTGTAGGATTGAAATAAGATCTAGTGTAAAACTGGACTTATCGTGCTGAAAATTGTGCTTACACCTGCATATGTTGTGTTAATGATGCAGGAGTTCTTTTTTTTCTCCAAATCAGGCTTTTTGGCTAATTTGAATGGATCAGGACATAAATTTAAACCTTTGATTAACACTGTAAAAAATCTGTAAATTAACAGTTTGTGCATTGTTTAAGTTTTTTCTCATATTTTTTCAAGGGTGTTTTCAGTTTTTTACGGTTATGAATTACATTATGGGTCCCTGATCTCTGCTTTGTCGACTTTTGATGTTGAATTGTTTACTCAGTTTAATAGTGACTTTTATTGAATGTTAGTAGGTTTAAACAGTATTTTGTATTAAAAATTATATTTTTTGTTGAATAATTTACAATACTAACTCAGACAATATATTAGTTCAAACTATTCAAAATGTCAATTAATATATATATATATATATATACATATATATTATTTTATTTTATTTATTTATTTATTTATTTTTTCAAAATTTCAACTCCATAAATTGTTGGAAGAAAGATCAAGGTCTCATAATGCAATTCAAAAGCAAAAAAAAAAAAAAAAAATGGAAAAAATTAATTACAAAATACAGAAAACTATTCATTTATAGATAATTTCTAAAGTGTGTGTTTTTATGAAAAAAATAAAATAAAATAAAATGAAAAAAAAAATAAAATTAATAAAGTAAAATTGAATTAAATTAAAAATAATAATAATAATATATATATTCAGTCAAATCAAGTCAGGCAAGATTTTCACTGAATAGTATTTCCACTCAAAGACAGTTGGTTTCCATTATGTATTTTCCTTTAATTGCTGAGATTAAAAAAAATTATAATAATAATAAAAATAAAAATAAATTAAAAACTATTGTGAAATGACTGTATTTCAGCTAAAACATTTTTTTCTTGCACTTCTTTTGTTTAAGTATTGGCCTTATGTTTGTTTTAATGTTTAGACAAATCCGAATAAGTACAGTTTATCCTAATCATCCAATTAAAGCAAGTGTATGCACTCTGCCTCATAATACATTGTGTGCCTTCTTGAGCACCAGCAGATGAGTTTGCATGTTAAAGACTTTTTTCTTCAAGAAATAATGTGCAAAACCATTGTAGTTACAAAACAAATTTGCCAAGTTATGTTGAATTAAATAACATAATACCACAAAACCAGCGCTACTATACATATTTGAAACTATTGGAAATAGGAATATAGAAATCTTGCACTGTCATATCATCCATGTAGCTATATCTTTTTGAAATTAATAATTTCTAAGGAAGATACAGAACAAGAACGGATTTTGGAGCATTACGTCCTGAACTGTAGCATCCCATAATGCACCTGCTTGTTAAATGAAGTTCAGAGCAATAAATCATTCAGTTTCTCAGTCGTACCTCATAGTCCAGGTCAAGGTGGTCAAACTCCCCGTTGGTGCGGAAGTGCTGAGTGTGCTGATCAAGGGTGAAATTGACATTTCTCCTGTAGCGCTCAATTACTACAGAATGCCAATGATGATCGTCCAGCAGACTGCCGCTGGTCACTGATGTATGGCCCAGGATGGAGCCGTGCTGATTGCTTCCTGCAGTTTATTAGACATAGGAGACGATCATTAATATCAGACACACCATATCTTCACCTTCATTGCAAAATGCGTATTGATGGGAAGAACATCTGAGAATGTCTTTGTCGAAGATATGAAATGTTTATGTCCCGATGATACACATGATAATGGCTTTTGTGTTTTACAGTCTATCAGTACTTCTTGTCCCTCCGGCTAGGTTTTCCTGCAATGCGGGTCTATGATATTAAATTAATAATTTGTGCAAAAAATGAATGTCCTGTTTTTGGCGAGTCATGCTGTTTCGAAGTTCTTTATTCTGTGCAATATTCTATGGAAATTAATGGAAATCAGAGATTTTGTTTTTTAACAAACTCACCTAAACTACTGTATAAGGAGAAAAAATGATAATATAATAATTAAAATATTCTTTTTGTGGGTTCTACAGACAGAAGTAAACAGAATAAATAAGATGGTAAGATTATATTGAGCTAATAACATGCCAAAACAATCTGAATTTGAAGTGTGTTAATTTGAATTACTGACAATTGTAATTAAATAAATCAGATTTTTTTTATCAGGGTAAAAATGCTTTGAATTTGACTTTCCATTTCCTAATTTTACATTAGGCTATAAGTAGGTAAAAAATAAAATGAATTTTACCTGTTTCCAGACTCCCCCAAAGCCCTCACCCATGTAATTCGCACCCTTTAATTTATCTATAACCATGAATCAATTTCGGTGATCCTTTACTCTTTCCTGTTGACCCCATACCTACTTTATGCTAAATCTGATTTCCACGATCAGAGTTTTTGGTTTTGAATTTTAGGATATTTGAATTTGATGGTCTGAATTTCTTCATCTTGAAAAAAATACGTCTATAAAAAATTCAGCCTTAAAATATTCAGTAAAAATTTCAGATGTTCAATATTTAAGTTAAAAAATTCAAATTAAGAAATTCTAATTCAAAACAATATAAATATAACGCATATAAAAACTTAGATTTATTAAATTACAATTATCAATAATTCAAATTAACACATGTTAAATTCAAATTTGTTTTGGCATATTATTGGCTCCATAATATTATAGATATTTATTTATTGTTTGGCTTTTTGTTGTTGCTGAAAACAGTCGCTTGTGCTCACAAAGGATGTGTTTATTTAATTATTAAATCATAAAGTAATACAGTGGGAAATTACTTAAATTCTAACTATTTGATTATATTTTAAAATGTAATTATAAAAGGCATTTGTCTGAAACAGAAACACCTGTAACAACAATATTTGACTTATTAAATGTTTAAAACAAAGTAAGGAAAAAAAAAATGTACAAAAGCAGGCACATCACTTTAATTGGGTGCTCAGCCAAACAGCAAAAAATGCAATATATATATTTATTCATTCATTTTCTTGTTGGCTTAGTCCCTTTATTAATCCAGGGTTGCCACAGCGGTATGAACCGCCAATTTTTCCAGCAAGTTTTTATGCAGCAGATTCAAACCAGCGACCCAGCGACCTTCTTGCTGTGAGGCAACAGCAGTACCTACTGTGCCACTGCCTCGCCTATATATATATATATATATATATATATATATATATATTCAAAAAAGGAAACTCTGAAGTTCCAAAAATACAAATTTATTAAATTAAAAAAGGTTGACACAAAGTGTGTGACGTTTTGAGCACATGGCTCTTCCTCAGACAGTGTTCATCAGACATGTTTTTGTGTATATATTTTCGTTTTGAATATCTAAGTTGTATAATTAATAAATGTGTTTTTTTTTTTTCATTTTATCTTGTTGTGAGATAACATGTTATCCGAAAGTGTACAAAAGGAACAACTTACTGTGATAACCACTGTGATGAAGAGCCGTGTGCTCAAAACATTATACGTTTTTGTCAGCCTTTTTTAATTTAATAAATCTGCATTTTTGGAGCTTTGGTGTTGCCTCCTTTTTGAATATATAAAACAAAGCAAAGCAAATGTAGCCTAAAAATTTATTAAAATAGAATAATAAATTAAAAATAATAAAATAAAATAAATTAAAAAGTAAAAAAGTACAGTAAAGTATTGGAAAGTAAAGTAAAGCACGTAAGAGTTCTGCATTCCTGTGGCTGTACTGCTAACTCAACCAGATTTTTTGTGGCATGGGAATCATTTCCGAATAAATTGTGGTATTGGACGGTAACTCTGTGTTATTTGAAGGGGAGTGGGCGGGCTAACAATATAGCATTCCCAAGTCCCAACATTATTTCGGAACAGCATATCTGTGAATTCCTCATTCCTATTGAAGCACCGGTACAGCCAGTGCTCACGATTGTAACACATGCTGAATGCATGACCGGTGCTTTCTGCACGTGCATTTTATTCACACAGTCTGTGCGCGCATCATGTGCATGATGGTCCTCAGAGTGGGCTTTACCAACATGGAAGAGCAAAGCGAAGATGCGCTGTGCTTCAGCTTGCATTAGAAAATAGTCACTTTACTGTCAGGAAACCCACATCAGGCAAGTCTGATGTATGGGAGTCTTTTTAATGCGTCAGAGATGCAAATATATTAAAAAGTTTTACCCTTTAGCATTCACAAGACTGGAAATTTCAGGTTTAAGGCGGCACTCGTGTCTCATCACAAAATTTAGCCTACATTCCTTGGACAACCTACAGTTTTATCTGTTATCTCTCTCTTTTGGTAGTATCCAATTTAAACGTGAGATTTCGGAAAACCAGATCTAAATTTAGCAGGAACAGTCGGGACAGGTTGAAGATTATTTTAAGCAGTCAGCAGGTGAACAAAGGCAGAATATACAGCGGTAGCGTCGGGTGCGGAATAAAACCTTGCGGGATCGGGACTAAAAAAATAAGTCCCACCCGACCGCTACTACACAAGTGCTGACAAATTTACTGGCCTTGTGTTTGTGTAATATCTGTGTGAATGGTTTTCATTTTAACATTAAGCAGAGCTTCTCCAAAACACCTTTTCTTTTTTACTATATTGATATTGTTGTGTTGTAAACATACCCTCATACAGTCATATAACTTGGGTACTGTAAATATCCCTTTAAATGTCAATGATTCATCTAAATCTTAAAATCTGTTAAGGTGAAACAACATACATCTTTATTAACATTTAACAGAAGCATCATGACCAGTTTTTGTTTGTTCTTTAGCAAAATATCGATTTCATTTAGTCTCTTTTCAACGCGCTATGGTTGTGAGTGTGACCATATCGGACTCAAATATGAAGGCAAGCGTAGCGGAAGTGACGATTTTGGTCCTCATGGATAACTAGATAGAGCTTAATTAGCTGGTTCAGGTGTGTTTAGTTGAGGTTAAAGCTAAATCTGCAGGACATTGGCCCTGGCCAGATTCAATGTAACTTAAATTCAACAAACAGACCATCAAAATAAAGTGTGACAGAAAAAAAAATAAAAAATTATGTATAATTTGTATTTTTTTATATATATATATATATATATATATATATATATATATATATATTTTTTTTTTTTTTATATATATATATATAGAGAGAAAGGAACAAAAAGGTTCTATGGACTTATAATATTCTCCATGGAACCATTGATGCCAATAAAGCAGCTTTATTTTTAAGAGTGTGCAGTAGATGTCAGGTCTGAGTTTTACCGAGGTTTATCTGCAGCAGAAGTCGGCCTCTTCTCAACTCCAAGGTGATGTAGTCTCCCTGTTGACCCTCTCCGTGCAGAATCACCCCTTCACTCTCAGATGTTTTAAACTTCAGGGCTATCACGTCCTTCAGAATCTTCATCTTCTTCATTTTGAAGCGGTAAGAGATCACCCCCTGCCCATCAAAATTAATCACATCTGCCCCTGTTGACGTGAGAGAAGAAGACAGGAGGAAGAGAAGGGATTAGCGCCTCTGAGGTGACGGAGTGTCGTGCTCGTTTTTGGCTAAATGATTGCTTGAGTGACTGTTCTATAGATTGCTTGGACCCAAAAAAAAAAGCATGGTGAAGTTCACAGATAAACTGCGGCTGGGATCAGGTGATAAACTACAGTGAGGAGGCAGAAAATTGCAGCCGGCTATTACCTGCTGACAAAGCCTTTCTGCTTATTGCGTGGTGGAGGAGGATTTTTGATCCCTGTCAGGGCTTGAAATGATGCGCACCGGAAGTTATGAATGTAAATTCTGTCGGTTTCATCTCCTGCACTGACACCGCATAACCTTTGGATATATTACACAAGCTCACAGTTTTCCTGATGGCACTTGATTGCTTTTGCGGACTGTCTTTATATCATTCAGAAGCTGTGTGAAATCTGCGATCGGCATGAGCGGGTAATTATGGAGAGCAAACTAGGAAGAGAAAAATACAGAAGCCACCGTGTTCCCCTCTACCAGTAAGACTGAAGTGTCGTGTTTATTCTCTTGCTTTATAAGGGAGAGATTGATTTGGTTTGATCTAGGCTTCATTAAAATGGAAATGATGATTTTGGTTTTGTGGTTGGTGGCTGCATTATATTTTACATTAAAAAAACTTTGGAATGGAAGTAATAAAATAAAAATCTATTTAAAAAATAGATGTAATTATTTATTAAAATAGCATGTCTTCTTGAGAAACGCAATACGTAGCAAAATACTTAGTTACAATAAGTGACTTCATAGTATATATATAAAAAGAATAAGAGATAAATTAAACGTGTTCTTTTATTAAATTATCGAATAATAGTCCATGTGAAATCCAAATTTAAAATGTTTATTTTGCAAATTATTCTTCTGTGAATTATTGTCAATATTGGCTACAATAATTTTCCGCCAACAGTCAAACTATGCGAACACCTTTTTGACTGCGTACTTGTCTATCTGTGCCTACTTGAGTGAAACATGTGTTTTTCTTAACGTATGAATTGTCTTTCACGTATTTATTGTCTTTTATGTATTGCTGTCAACATAGCTAATAGTATATTGTTTTATTTTTTTGGAGTATGTTGTTGTATTTTGCTCTGTCTGGAGCCAGCACTTAAGCTTTACACTCATCATAGTACAAGTGCTGCTGATGATGTGACAATAAAAGTGATCTGATTTGATTTGATTTAGGTGAACAATTAATTCGTACAATAATTTTTTTTCAGTTTTGGTAATCTTCGATCGAAGTCAGACTATTTGTTTAGAAACGACGGTCCTTTTCTGATCAGTTTAACAGCTTCAGCCACAATATTATTAACCACACCCCTCAATGATCCACAAAAAACAAAAGCCCCTACCCCTACTCCATATTTGGTCCCATTTTATATTAAGTGTGTGTGTGTGTGTGTGTGTGTGTGTGTGTGTGTGTGTGTGTGTGTGTGTGTGTGTGTATATATATATATATATATATATATATATATATATATATATATATATATATATATATATATATATATATATATATATATATATATATATATATATATATATATATATATATATATATATATATATATATATATATATACATACAATTTACTTCATGTGTTCATATTGTATTATAAAACCCTTCTGGTGGTCTTGATGTGGGATACAAGTAAGTCACAACTTCTTCCATCATCATATATTACAGGAAAGCCTATAAATGCTTTCATACATGTGATCTGAATGACGCAAGAGGCAATCTCTCTGTGATTGTTACACATTTAGGATTAATCTACCAGTAAAAAAAAATATTAATCAGCGGGTCACATGGGTTCCGAAATGTGTGTTGTGATCCGTACAAATCACGGATCAACCGTGATCCCTTACACCCATACTGCATACTGGTGGTGGATGAGGAGATTTCCCCAAAAAAATGTGTAAAGTGCTTTGAGTGTCCAGAAAAGCACGTAAGGAATTATTAATATTATTATTTTTATTATTTTGGTTATTATTATTATTATTTTTATCATTTTTATTTTTATTTTTTCAGTGTAAGTAAGGCCACTTAACAATACAATATTCAGTCGGAAGTAACATCAACATACTTAAATAAAAGTTTCAGCCACTTCCTGTTCATGCAGACTTTAAAATAAGATAAGCATAAAAATTTAAGGCAGCAAATAATTGTTTACAGTGTTGTTAAAATACATTTTGTAGTATATATATATATATATATATATATATATATATATATATATATATGCATACCAGAGCATTTCACATAAATCACTATAATGCTAAAATATATGTTTTTATTTAAAAAAAACCTTTATATTATTAAAAAAAAATGTGATTATGACAAAAAGCAAAAACAAAACAATGTAATAATTAGGCTAATCCACATAACAAAATTATTTATAACTAGCAGTTCAGAAAACAAGCACAATGGATACACAGTGTTTTCAAGTCAGCCAGCGTATATGATATTTCTTTCCATTATATAAATGGATCGTTCATCCGTTGTATGCATTCCTGAGGCATGTAAAACCAATTTGCATTTATCAGCTTCAATTACCAGTGTAAATTGTGAAATGATGCAACAACTTCAATTGTTTAACATGAACAAATACGGCGAGAATGTGTGTTTAGTGTAATCTGTCATGTACAAAACCACTAAGGAATGCCTGTAGTGTGGAACGTCATCTGTGATTGCACGTGCACGTGTGTGTGTGTGCGCATTTGTGTCTGGAGTACTGTCTGCATATGGAATTAATTCAATTCTCTCCATGCACCCTGCTGAGGACTGATTACTACACTAATGCATGAGTATGTGCGCTGTGTCTGGCCAGTTGCTCTACCACTCTTCTTTTCTCTCTCCCTCTCCCTCCATTGGCAATCCCCTTCACCTCCATCACAAATGCATTCATCCGTTCTCGCCCGATCAACAAGGTCAGAGCGCTGCATTCATTCTCATTCTGTGCTTCATCTCTAGTGCAGGTCTTGCTTATCTAACTCTTATTCTTTGCCTCTATGCTTCCTGAGAAGGGCTATCTCTATTCCTTTACTGCACATCTTATTTATTTTCACTCAACAGTCAGTGCATTTCCGTGTTTGAAGAGAAAGTGACTGATGGAAAAAGGGGGACCAAAAATTGTTTTGTACTTTCTAATATTTCTTTGTTTTGGAACATGGTGACTGCTAATTATTTAAGGATGGAAAATAGCTCACTGGGTGGGATTAGATGGTGACTACTTTGGTCTAGCTGGTCAATATTAGCTCTTTTTCTGCCGTTTGAGAGCTGGTTTGGAGATGCAATCTAGTTCCGAATTGGTTATTTGCCGTTTGACACCCAAAGTGATGGCTTTGAACCAAGAAAAGTGCAATGTGTCAGTTATTTTGACATACAAATGTATTCATAGAGCTTTGACATGACATGCAATGTTTTCGAAATGCTTATGGATCATTTCCTGCACATTTCAGGACCGATGTTGTCTGTGGAGGATGAGGGAGCTCTCAAATTTAAAATATATTAATTTGCGTTCCAAAGAAGATGATAAAGTCTATTTTTGGATGAACTCTTTAATTTGTGCTGAAAAGAGTTGATCTGTATTTTCTGGATCAGATTCAGCCTCGTATTGTAAGTTATGGTATAACCTTTTCATCACACAGTTGAGGTATTCAGCCAATCACAATAAACTGTACACTGCCTGACAAAAGTCTTGTCGTCAATCCCAGTTGTAGAAGCAACAAATGATAACTTCACTTAGTTGATCATTTGGAAAAGTTACAGAAGGTAGATTTTTCATGATCAATCATCTGTTGAATCCAAATCATCACAAATACTGCAGAAGACCTATTGGATTCATTCTTTTTTCCACTGCATGATGACTTTATATTCTATACTGTACATTATTTTTGTTTAGTCACAAGACTTTTGCCAAAGCAATGTCCGACCTTACTGTCCTAATTAAATAATTAAAAATCAAGGCATGATCATATTTTATTTTAGTAAAAGAGATGTAATCTAGAGGCCTTTGCCTTTCATATACTGTAAGCTACTTCCTACAAAAAAAATAAAAATCAACTAGAAGTCAAGTTATTATTTGTTGTTTCGAAAACTTGGATAGGCAACGACTTTTGTCAGGTAGTGTATTGCTTGCCAATCACGGAACACAGAGCTTTTCAAATGGATGAGCTTTGTAAACATTTTGTAAGAGTTTCAAAAAGGCAGAGCAAGAAGAGCAGTAATACTGTATGGTATGTGGAAAAAAAAGGCTTTTTTGTTTAGTTTTTACCCATAAAATGCACAAACAAATTACATTACACTAATTACACAATATAATGTTATTTTAGTAACTTTTTAATCTTTTAAGCAAGTTTAGGATGGTCATTATTTTAAGATTTCAGTTGAATAAAGCCGGCCAGTACCAACCGTAAACAAGTTAAGATTGTCATTAAGCTGGTATAAATGATCATTAGCTTGTTTAGAATTATGCTCGTAGCCAGCCTATTGGAAAGGGTGGTTCTTTTCTCTTAAAAAGTGAACTTTTTGCAGTTATACGCATCATTTTCTATTTAATTATGAGATAAAAATACTGCATTTTAGTGATATTTTAAGCACTAAGCATTGCAGGATTAACTTGTTGAATGGTGACCACACTTTTTGATGTAACAAAAATATTTTCTTACAGTTTTGTCGGAGTGCTTACAATAATATATATAATATATAAACTGTAAGTTATCACAGTGTTTATATAATGTTATAAGATTAGCATTTTTGTATTGTAAAGAAATATAAAAAAGAATTATTCTTAAAATACAGATTTATTGTTATGAATTATTAAAAAAAATTAGGAAACTGTTAAAACTTGTTAACTTGTGCCTTCTTCTATTAGTTATTTTCACTATTTATGATGGCACAGTAAAAACAAAAAGGACTGAAAAGCTTATGTAGGGGCCAAGTTCTGAACTACAGGCCTGAGAATTGTTATTTAATTTGACATTAGCTAGTGTAAGCCTATTTTTAATTGGCCATTAACAATCGTAAACTAGATTGGGCTTATTAGTAGCTGACCTTGTGTTAAAATGGTTTTAGCCTGTTTACTGTTTGTTGGTTTTTTTCCGCAGGTCAACATGAACCAGCTAATCACCAGTTTATAACAGAAGGAAACAAGCTACCATGTTCCCAAACAACTACCAATTTAATCAAGATTTTCCAGCAGGCTGAAAATGCTTTTCTTATTTATTTATTCCTCCCTACCCTCTCATAAACAACCGTTTGGAGAAGCAGCACGTCTTTATCGGCATCAGTGATCACCAGCACGATCTACATGACGGAGGAATATGAGCGTTTTCACCAGCACGGAGCAAATGTGGATGAGACGCTTTCTGACAGGAAAATCAGTGCAGCCAAACCCCCCTCGGCTCCTCACGAGGCGGAAAACAGCTTGAGGAATGATACGTATCTAAAGCTACCAGGCTTCATTCATACTTGTCATAAACACAAACATTCAGAAGAGTCAGGCGTCAGGTTTATTTATGCTATCAATATTTCAACAGCGGTATAAAAACAGAAAAAAATGTCTACTATGCTTCAGTTTTATCCATCTCTGGGATATTATTTGTAATTTTTCCCCCCTTGAATAAACAAACTAGCAATTGTTGGAGCGAAATTTATTATTTAAGATGGTTCTTCTGGTCTGGGGTTAAATGACAGATGATTACATCACTGTAATGAGAGAACTGAGTGTGATAGTTTTTAAACCAATTTGTGGGGGTGCTAATTGAAAATTGTTATCAAGATCAATTTGGCAACACTTAATGTAATGAAAGTGATGAATTCGTCAAGGCTACATTCCAGAAAACAGAGCTTGTTGATAGTTCTTAGATGTCATTTTCGTTTCTTGCTGGTGAAATTACAATGTAATAAAAGGTTAGATTGAAATATAAATGAAAAAAGAATACCAATGCACTGAAGCGTGTGGAACAATAATCTAATTAATTCATAGATGTGGCCTAGGGTGTGCTCACATTTATAAATATTTTTGACCCCACTGGAAGCAGGTACAGGCACTCATTTGCTTTTTAATACCACGATTTGCAGTGACCGATACTTTTCAAACAAATGAAAATCTTGCAAAGCTGTCTTAGTGAAATTATTAAATAAAAAAGCTTATCCTTAAACCGTAACATCAGTTGACAAGTACATTTTATCAGTAAATTCATGTATCCTAAAATTTCCACGGAAATTATTTGTTTTTTAAAGCTGTACCAGATTAACGTTACAACCTAAAATTTGGAAACTAGTAGCTACTAATTTCCATTGTATTATTATTATGTCAATGGCAACCAGTTTCAAATATTATTCAAAATATCATGTTTAATAGGGCTGCACGATTCTGGCTAAAATGAGAATCACATTTTTTTTTGCTTATTATAGGCAATTATTATTGTTATTTCTCAAGCATATGGTAAAACAATAATAATAATAATAATAGGCCTATGTGTAGGTCTACTGTTGGTTAAAATGCTACATTTTGTATACACTTGGAATGGTGGACTTAAACAGACTTTGTCCTGGAGATTAATTCACAGTGAAGTGATGACATTAATTTTTCACTTTCACCGAGTGCGGTTCATGTCATGGCTGCTGTCACTTTGAGAAATAAAAAAAACAACATAAAAGCAATCATACCTCACATGTTGCTCCCAAACGATCGCTCTGAACAACTAAAAAACTGAACATTATTTACAACTTTATTACCTGTTATACACAGCCTATGCAGGTTCTTTTCACTAAAGTATCATTGGCGGGCACACGCACATCCTCCTAATAGTAATCAAATCAAAAACGTACCTCTATATACATTTCTGGAGCGCTGCAAATACATGCTAAGAGCTACGATTTTTTCATGTTTTTGTTTTTGCAAATCCACCAGAGATCTGTGTATGCTTTATTTTTAGATCTCAATTTTTTCTTGCGAGTGCCATTGTGCCATTACTGTTCTTGCATAAATCCACCAGAAGCCGTTGTCCACTGACTGACTGACTGACTATATGACTGACTGACTGACTGACCGATCCCCACACCTTCCTCCTTCCCTAAACCCAACCAAAAGTGTTTTCAAAAGCACCGATTGATCCACTTACCCACTTCCCTAAACCGAATCGACAATTTTAAAAAGCAATCGAGAAAAAGAAAGCTCTTACCAGATTTTTACCACACCTTGTTAATTACTTGTTTTTTTTTAATGTTTTTTTTTTTTTTTTTGGATTCTGCTCTTGTCTTTCCCTGCTTTCTGGAATTGTTCTTCACCGGAAAACTCTGTAATCATGAACAACTCCTCTCTGCATCTCAAGTCCACCAATATACACGGCGAGCTAACTGGACAAACTGGTAACAGTGGGAAAGTTATCCATACATAAGAATGCGGTCAGCTAGTAAGTGCAAAAAGGAACAACGTCATACCACCCTGTTAGCATTCGTTTAAAAGACGAATTGCAGCTATACATACTTTTGGCTACATAATGTGCGATCTCCAGAAATGTATATAGGACTATGGTTTCAGAATGAGCCTATTTTTATACAAATCAGCATCAGCGCATGTGTGATTTTGCGGGCCCAAATATGTTACATTATATGTATTATAAAATATGAACATTTTTGGGTGAATTATACCTTAAAATACAGTATGTGACACTTTAACACAATTTTAAGGTGTCCATGTTGCTGAGTGTTTGAAAGAACAGCTAATGATTAGCAAGTTTACATTTTTTGGTGACTTATCCCTTTAAGTGAAATGACACACACTGTAAAAAATAATGGGTTCCACACAATTCCTTCATGTTGTCCTAATACAAATCAAGTTAACTTATTTGTTTTTACAAATTTAAGTGGATTGAACATAAAACAACTAAGTTGTCCCAAAAAAACAAGGAATTGTGTTGATTCAGATAGTTTTAAGTAGTCTGAACAAGCAGCAAATATATATTTTTGAGTGCATTATAGTTAAAAAATTAAGCTGTCATTCTGAAGACCAGGACTTGCATTTTTTAACTATATATTTAAGCAAAAACATTCATTCATTCATTCATTCATTCATTCATTCATTCATTCATTCATTCATTTATTCATTATCCTTCAGCTTATTCTCTATTCCCCTATTTATCAGGGGTCGCAATAGCGGAAAGAACCGCCAACTTATCCAGCATATGTTTTACACTGTGGATGCTTTTCCAGCCGCAACACAGTACTGGGAAACACCCATACAGTTTCACATTCACATACTCATACACTATGACCAATTTTGTTTATCCAAATCACCTATACTGCATGTCTTTGGGCTTTGAGGGAAATCGAAGCACCTGGAGGAAACTCATGCAAATACGGAGAAAACATGCAAACTCCACAAAGAAATGCCAACCGATCGAGCCGGGACTCAAACCAGTGACCTTCTTGCTGTGGAGAGACAGTGCTAACCACTGAGCCACCCTGCCGCAAAGCAAAAACATCACATTTAAAAAAGATAATCTGGATTTTGCTTGAACAGCAGGGTGGCCTGTACTGTAGTGGATTTGCATGGGACGGATAGCTGACCTTGACTTTCAAGAAAAAAGTAGAGTCAGCCAATTTGCCTTAATTGTACCAGGATCTTCCTGAATATATACTGCCATTCTGCATTGCATATTAATCACTCTAGTGATGCGAAAAGCTTCCAGCCACATTCCCTCCGCAGGAAAAAGACACTTCCAACAGATAAAACTATCCATTTTATACAGAGTTAGCAAATGTTCCAGCTACAACAAAAGATCAGGATACATCAAAAAAAATAAATAAATGAATGCACAGATATTGAGGCCTCAGTATCAAATGAATAATCGGCCTTCAGTATATGTGAAATGTGAACTTACAGTACGGGCAGCCGTAGATCTCGAACCTGAGGCCAATTCGTCCCTCTTCACTCCAGTCTAAAGGAATGATGCGCAAATAACGGGCCACAACCGGGTTTTGCAGGTCATGCCGAACCACACTCTCTGTATTGGAGTTCCCTGCAAATGCCTGCAAAACAGAAACGACACTTTAATTTACAACAGAGCTACAATTTGTACAAATAAAACAAATTAAATTCACCTAAACAATCCACATCTGAAATAAATGTGCAAATAAAAGCATAAAGATGACAGTATGCCATAAGTATGGCAACATGATATTTGTGTTCGTTTCCCTGTTTTCCACTGTTTCTGTGGCGCGATTTCTGACAGACTGGCGTTTATTGTGAGTAGTTGCTGAATGCAAATAAAAAAATCAATAAAAGCAAAGGATCAACTTATGTCAGATCCACAAAAAATCTGAAACATCACCTCCAGTAAGTTATGATGATATTCACAACTCAAAAACGTTTATATCAAATTAGTTTTTTGCAAATCGATCAAATGTATGTGCTGCCAAATGGCAGCACTGCACAATAGTGAAATGCTCAATATTGCAATAAGTTAGCTAGCTAGTAAGTTCAGCCATGATCTTTTAAGTTGTAACAATATCAGCATGAATGATAGTGATATATTGTTGATTATATGTTACTGGGATTTGCATTATGGGTAAAATATTTTAATGACAATACTTTTTATTAGCTCTAAATACTAGGAACAGTGTATTGGTGAGAACCACCCTGTTCTATGGTAAGTGAAAGAAGAAAAAAACAGAACTGGCTCTTCCTGCAGATGAAAGTGTGGATGAGATGGGTTTTAGTCACCATGAGAATGATGCAGATTGGACATTTGATAAGAGCAGTTATGCAGACAGTTTAGGTAAGTTAGCTGAGAGGCAGATAAGACAGGTGAATTAGTATATTCACCTTATTGTCCGCCGACGAGCGGGCGCTGCCATTTGAATCTTTTTGGCTTGAGACTTCCGGTCTCATTCTCTTCCATTCATTTTTTTGACGTTAAAAACTGCTCGTTACGCTGCTTGATGTTGCAATTTGATATTTTCTTATTATATTATTCTACTTGATCTGTATAGTCATGCAAACATTTGTTTGTAGAGCAAGTAGTTTGACCGTTTTCTGCCGTTTATTATTCCTAGTCATTTCTCCTATAGGCGACTGAATCGGAAGTTCTAAGACAATCGCGAAAACAGGCGAACTTCCGCATTTTAGATTAAGGTCAATAGAATGGTACATAAACATGACTAGTAGCTACATTAATCTGATGCATCTGGATATATTAGACTTGTATTAGATTTGTTATATTATTTATCGAGGGAATCCTTTATACCTCCTGTATGATGTATACATCATAATACAATATCAGGTTTGATTTCAATAGTATTCAGCAAAAAAGAATGGAATAAATAAAAGCTGTTGGAATATCAGTTGTTGTAAGGTATGTACAGTTAAAGTCAGAATTATTAGCCCCTCTGTTTACTTTTTTCCCCAATTTCTGTTTAACGTAGAGAGGATTTTTTTAACACATTTCTAAACATAATAGTTTTATTAACTCATTTCTAATCACTTTTTTATTTTATCTTTGCCATAATGATAGTAAATAATATTTTAGATATTTTTCAAGACACTTCTGTACAGCTTAAAGTGATCAAACACTTCTTAATTTTTTTTTATTGCCACAGAACACTGAAAATTGATTATTTAATCTTGTGTGAACAGTATGTTTCTCAAAATAAAATATACTGTGTTCAAAGGAGAAAAAAGTTGTCGTTTTTACCCAAAGATTAAAAAAAAAATAAAGTATTTTAGATTTTTTATACAAGGTAATAATACAATCAGAATCTTACACCGGCACATGCCTATAGATCTACTGTAGTTTTTTTTTTTCCCCCTAGATTTTCAGGAAACCCTCCACTATCCTATCTCAGCAGCTGTAATCACTAGACAAAAAAAAAAAAAAACATTCGACATGTAGGTGGAATGAAGCTGCACGGCTCTGTTGCTTCTCTTGACCTACACGACTCCTCATGTCATGCAGAGCAAAAAATTGATGCGGTCGCCCATTGAATGGTGAAAAACTTCAGTTGGTGAACTGACCATGTGGGATTGGTGATAAGCAGCTCAAGGCCACCAAACTAGACTGATGCGGATTACAGTATTTGCCCCCTTCCTCTAAAGAAACCACCATTATGGCCTTCATTGTAGAGCTGGGGATTTGTTGTCAATACTGGAGGCTCCATACAGGGCAGTGACTGTAATGTGTGAAGGGCTGATTACTGTGCTCTGTAGTGGCCGACTGGGGAGCTTTCACTTCATTTTTCATTGTGGAGAGAGAAAACTGAGCTGTTGTGATTTTGCAGGTGACAGTGCTTTATGGGTGGACCTCCTGGGCACCATGAGGTAGGCAATTATATAGAAAAGGAGTTATCAGAATTAGGTCCACCAGGAGGCGTCACAGAAACAAAACAAAGCAAAACAAACAAATATTTTACAATAAAGTGTAAGTATAGTTTGAAAATAGGATGTGTGGGATGGGCGTTATTATATAATAATAATAATAATAATAATAATAATAATAATAATAATAATAATAAAAATCACAACATAATGTTTTATATCATTCACTATCGATAATTATTGAATATTTTTTTACAATTTATTTAGGAATATTAGTATTTTTATTTATTTATTTTTATTTATTCATTTTAATTTACCAACATTACTAAGGCAAATAAATTTTATAGGAAAAAAACTAAAAAGGTTTACAAAAATATCTTGTCTCTTATGCCTTAATAAAGTAAATATAAGTGTAAAAGAGACTATTAAATTTGAAAAATAAAAAATAGTAAAAATAGTACAAGTGTAATTGCTGAACAATTAAAGTAAACTTTAAGGGTAGATTAACATCTGTAAGGTGTCAATAATAATGATACATTAAATCTCAAAATCTGTAAACAAAACAATTGCTAATAATCAAATTTGAACTTTCAAGTAAAGCAGGGGTGTCCAAACTCGGTCCTGGAAGGCCGGTGTCCTGCATACTTTAGCTCCAACTTCCTTCAACACACCTGCCTGGAAGTTTCTAGTGTACCTAGAAAGAGCTTGTTAGGCTGGTTCAGGTGTGTTCAATTGGGGTTGGAACTAAAATATGCAAGACACCGGGCCTCCAGGACAGAGTTTGGACACCCCTGAAGTAAAGGAACCAATCATCATTATTCAAATACATATTGCAACATTACAAATTGTGAAGTTCATTAATGACTACATTATCCCTTATGCTGAACAATCTTTCAGATGGAGTGCTAGTGGCTGGGATGCACAAGAAAAGAAACCTAAAAGCCACTCTGGCGACATCCAGTTTGGCTGTGGACGTGTACTGTGTTTGTCTCAGGTTTAGTCTGCCATTATTACTGAAATATGTATATTCCATACAAAATGTGAACCAGATTGGTTAGTTCTAGTTACATGAATTGCAGAGCTCTCTCGGTGTTATGGAAAATTGAAGTGTTTTTCAACTAGGTGTAAATGGAAAATAAGCATGCTTCACATGCATGCCACTTGCACAAGCTGTGTGCCTTGATTAGAAATAACCCTAAGGTCATTGGGATTTTTAAAAAAATTTTTTTATTAATGTTATTGACAATGGTGTTCGGTCAATAAATACCAGTACCATTTTATCGGCCCAGCCCTATGTGTGTGGATACAGATACATTAAAGGGAACAGTTTTCATTTACTTACCAAGGTGGATTTTATTTATACTGAAAATATTCTTAGATACCTTGACAAATAGGAATCTATGTCTTTATTTATTTATTAATTTTCTTTTCGGCTCAGTCCCTTTATTAATCAGGGTTACTACAGGGGAATAAACCGGCAACTTATCCAGCATATGTTTTATGCAGCAGATGCCATTCTAGCCGCAACCCAACACTGAAAAACACCTCTATACTCTTGCTTTCACACACACTCATACACTATGGACAATTTATCGTATTCAATTCCCCCACAGCACATCTCTTTGGACTTTTCTGGGAAACCAGAACACCCGGAGGAAACCCACGCCAACACAGAACAACTTCACACAGAAATGCCAACTGACCCATCCAGGGCTCGAAACAGTGACCTTTTTTTTTTTTAAGATTTCATTTTGGGCCTTTTTGCCTTTATTTCATAGGACAGTATTTAGACAGGAAGCAAAATTGGAGAGAGGGGGGAAGGGGAAATGTCCTAAAGCCAGGATTCAAACACAGGACACCCTGACTTGCTATTGCACCATATGTCGACACGTTAACCACTAGGCTATTGCCCCGACACAGTGACCTTCTTGCTGTGAGGTGATTGTGCTACCCTATTTATTTTTATTTTTCTAAGAAAAAAAAAACCCTTTAAGCAAGCATGAGAAACATTTTCATCTAAAATAAACCAAATGACTGAAAAAGTGTACATTTAAATTCATTTTAAAGTGTTTCCTTGAAACAAATTTTACAAAAAAAAGAAACACTAAAATAAATAATAATGAAAACTACTGCTGCTAATAATAATTGCAGAAATAAGGTCGAAGTACCCTTAGTACGCATGAACTGTTTTCACTCCCAATTTAGTTTCACAGACCAAAAATGAACTTCTTAAACATCCACCGACCTATTTTCACTTCTATTGTGTATATAAAAGCGGATTAATCCACACATCATTATTTCACAGAAAACGACTCCAGAATGACTCCATTCTACATTCAAGTCCATATCTAGACCTTAACCAGTCAGCAAATGTGTAATTAGTTAGCCAAATGTGAAGCCGTCCTGAGAGCTGCGCTGCTCGCCATGTTGTTTAATCAAGCACCTTCACAATTTCAAGCACAAAGGCCTGACGGAGATAGAGACCATCTTTCATTAGTGGAGAGACCACGTTTAGGCAGGAAGCCAGCTGTAACTATCAAAAGAGACACATTCATTGCTTCCTCTTGGTATAATTAAAGTAGCTTTGACTTATTTTTTGTTAAAGCTCTTGGGTCTCGCTTCTTCTACAGCTTTGAACAACTGTCTGCTCGCTTACTGTATATTTCTGACTTAAAAAACAACAGGTTTCATTGTACAGTGTAAAAAAATATATACA